AGAGAGAGAGAGAGAGAGAGACAGAGAGAGACAGACAGAGAAAGTAAGAGAGCAAGAGAGCACATGAATTGATAAGTGAGGAAGAGAATGAGTAAGTAGGTGAATGACCATGTGAATGACAGAATGAGAAGGTGATTTTTGTCATAGAGTGTGTGAATGTACGAGTTAACAAATACATTAAAGCGTGAATGAAAAAAGAATGAATATGTGTTAGCCGTTTCGTCATTTCATAATACTGAACACATCAAGGCTTCGATCTCCAACAGGTTCTTATAGTAAGTGAATGGGTCCAAAATGTCAAATTTCTACACCTTTCCTGTCATAGCGGAGACGCTATATTCCGACAAGAAAAAACATATAATAATAATAATATGTTACCTCTCCGAACCAACCTTTTGCATGTTAGCAGAGAAGTCCACTTCCCCCTGGGGCAGTGCCACTGACTGTAATGTCTTTACGCCATTCCCAAAAGGGGGGGGGGGGGAGCATTTCTCGTTCAAGTGCAGTAGAAAATGGGCTGATTCATGTCATGCTCATAACTGTGCCTGATCTACAACAGAGAACTGCTGCTTTTCCTTTCCTAATACTTACTATTGTCATTTTCCTCTACTTCTTTTGTATGTTTGTCACTCTCTTGTGACCTGCTACTTCCGGGGTGCCTTGATAGTTGAAGCAGACCTTGTGCTGTTGAAGCTAGAGAGGTGGGCAGAGTGGGTCTGATTCCCTGTAAACACTTCTCTGTTGACACCCACCCTTTGGCGCTCATATGACCTTATGCAGTTGCGAGTGCCGTAAAACCCTCTACAATAATAATAAGAAGAAAAATTCATGCGGTGCCCTTTCCTATTTATAAAAATACCTCTGTCTATGAAATATTGATAAACAGGCGTACCATAATATAACTTTGACAATATGGTGGAGTACAAAACGGATGACCCCAGTTCGAATCCTATATTAGACGTATTTTAGTTGTTTGAGGAGTTTTCACCACTTAATTAGAATACCTACGTCATATAGAAAAGAGCAAAATGCTGGAGTAGCACCTAAATAAATAGGCTTAGAGTGTAGGTCTATCCTTGATGGAACATTAATTTCATGCCTTTCCATACCATACCGCACCAGCAAAAAATGGCCTCGGAATAAAACATGCGGGTTTTAAGGGGGGGGGGGGGT